GTCAGATGGTAGGATGGTTTGTAGCCTTATATTGGATCTTTCTTTTGGTGTCATGTGCATGCCAGGCCTTATGCTTAATGTATCATGTGCTCCACACCTAAGGAAGATATAAGATGCTGCTATGGTACTCCTTAGGTGCTTAGGTGACTTAGGTAGGTGTCAAGTAAGTAGCTAGGTGAGTTTGAGCTAGCTAACTCATGCTAACTAGCTAGTGACACTTCAGCTACTCAACTACCATTTTAGCTACACTTCAGCTGCCTCCATTCCACATCTCAGCTACCAAGTCCTAAGCTGCCCTTCAGCTCATTTAACTATTTTTTTTAGCTCTATTAATATCCTTTGAGATAAGTAAGTTAGCATAAAATTTTATAAGCTAACTCTGAGCTAGCATGCTTATTGTTTAGCTCCACCAAGCTACCAAATGATGTGTAAGCTAGAATCATTCCAAATACATGTTGTTGTCTATATGAACCATACAATTAAGCTAAGATAGTATAAGGATGAATACATGAGCTAGCATAAACTTGATATAAGCTAAGTATGAACATGCATAAGCTATTAAATGATACAAATTCATAGTAATAACATAGATTAAGCTAGGAATGAAGGTAAAACATAACATATGCATAATATATACTAATTATATGAGTGTGGAGCATACTATTAAGCTTTATACTTAATGAATATGAAAATTATGATACTATCATTCATGATTAATAACCTAAAGATAAAATGCATAACATAAGGTAATATGTAAAAACAATAGATGACAACATAATGCATATGAGCATAATATATCACATTAACTCTAAGTATAAAATGTAAAAAGAAAAGAAATGAAAAGAATAAGAAAACTCCCTTAATCTTTAACCATGAGAAAGATACAATAAGGAAGAATAGTAAATACGAAAATAGGATTGTATCATCCCCCTTTTTTGAGGCGATTTGTTCCCAAATCGAAATCCTTGATATGCTCAAATTCCCTCTTCTTAAGGGCATTTGTATCATTTTTCCAATCACAACACCTTATGGTCGAATGATTATCCTTACTTATATCTCTTGGGTTAGAAGCTTTCATTTTCCAAAATCCTTGTTCTTTCACTTGTGCCTCATCGAATAGGCATCCTTCAAAAGGTGTCTTTTTACAAAGACTTCTCATAGGCCTTTCATTGGATAGGAACATACCAACATTCTCCTTTTGGGATAAGTTTTTTTAAATGACTCCCTTGAAACTGCCCCTTCACGTGAAACTTCCTGCAAGATGAAAAAATGTGTTGGTTGAGATAAATGGGTACTTATCTCTTGGAGGCATTGGTCCAATACATTATGATTTTTCACTTCAGCATATGTCCTTTGGCTCCAATCCTCACGAGTTTTCAAAAATGGATTAATATTTTCACTTTCTTCTATTGGAATGATACATCTGTTGGTAAAAATGTTAGACTTTGTGTAATATCCCCAAAATAGGGTTAGTGACTAAAATGTAAGTTTTTGAAATTGTGTGATCAAATTCAGAAAATTTAAAAGTTTAGGGACTTAATTATAATTTCTTTATGTAGGACTAATTAGCCAATAAGGAAAGATGAGAAAGTATAATGGTCATTTGATAAGAAAGATTTTTATTTTTTTTATGGGATATAAATCACGTGGAGAATGAGAGGAAATGAAAGAAAAGTCTGGAGACTTGGTTTAGTTATCCTCTTCTTCCCATGACTTCATTGGTAAGGTAAATTGGTTTCAAGTTGGTTATGTCTTTCAATTTAAAGTTGGTTTTGATTCTTGGAGTGATAAAAAAGCCTAAGGGAAGCTTAAGGTTGCTTAAAACTCAAAGAGAGATAAGTTATGAAAGATTGAATATGAAGAGTTTTTAAGTGAATTATTGAAAGAGAGTTTTTTAATGAATTTAGAAGTCATATTTGACTTGTCATCAGTTAGAATAAGAGATTAAAGAGGTTAAAGGGGATGAATAGCAAAGTTGAATAATTGGTAAGATTTTTAGTTTCAAGTGTCTAGTAAGATATTGGATGTTTAGATGTGTTAAAGTGATATAAGATGGTTTAAGTAAGTATAGTTGAGTTTAAAGTAATGAGAGGAGTTTAGATAAGTCTTGGTAAATTTTTGGGTTAAAGAAATGTATTCTAGGCATGGGGTATCAGTATTGTTCATCCAGTACCGATACTTCAAAGCAAAATAAGTAGAATCTTGACCTTGGGTATCGATACTGTTCATACAGTATCGATACCATAGAGTAAAAATGGATGAAATCTTTAAGAAGTATCGATACCTAGTGTCTAGTATCGATACCATTATCAAGTTATAAATACAGAATGACAAAATGGTATCGATACCTTGGGGTATCAATACCATAAGAGGGTAGTATCAGTACTATAATAAGAGTATCGATATTATTAATCTTGAAATGCTAAATAAGTGGTTCTTTTAGCTTAAGTTATATTGATTGGTTATAAGAAATTCGAACTCCGATATTCATATAAGTCGTATAATTGTGTAGATATCGATCGGAAGTGAGTATCTGATGATTCAACGAGATAAGATCGAGCAAGAAAGAAATAAGTGTATAACTTGGACTAGTGAGGCTAAGGTCAGTGCATTCTAGTTGGTATATGATGTTTAATTGAAATAAGACTTGCGACGAGTCTATTTCCTATATTATAATGCATGAATTCAGGAATATAAGCATGTGTTTGATATGAGTATATGTGTTATATGTTATTGTATATATAAATTACATGATCTGTGTGAATATATGTTAATGTGATAAACCATGTGAACTGGTATAAATGATCTATGTGATTACATAAAAATATGATATAAGTTATATGATATGGATAGAAGGGATTATATGAATATGTAATATCAGTTATGTGCTAAGGAATCATGTGAATATATGTCTATGAGAAGATATAAGAATAAGATATAAGCCATGTGATATGAATTACGTAACTACGTGTTATTGACTTAAGTAATTATATGAACATGTGACATGTGAGTATGAATCCTATAAAATGTTCTAAGTTTAAGTGAACTATATGACGTATGTTATATTGTACGATAATGATTTAAGTGAATATATGATAACAAGGTATAAGTTATATGAATTAGATCTAGGTGAACTGATATAATAGACTTATGTGATTAAATAAAGACTGAGATAAGTTAAGTAATATTATATATATAATAATAATAATAAAAGAATTGAATATAAGTTAGGAGATACTGACATAAGTAATTATTCTAACATGTAATATTAGTTGTATAGTAAATATATATGAAACTATATGAGAATACATGTCTAGTTTACTATGTGAAGCTGAACTAAGTGAATATATGAAACTAGTATAAAACTTATGTGATACAGATGATTAGGTAAATTTGTGAGATAAGTTATATTGTATTAATATACGAATTATATTAAAATATGTATATGAGTATTTGTTTAAATTATATGCGTTGATATGTGAAAAATAAGAGAATAAAGGATAAGTTATATGATATAAGCTATGTGATTACATGTATATGTTAATATACCTTGCTTGCATTACATGTTATGTGATATGTGTTATAAGACAATGATCTAAGTGACCATATGAAAATGGTACATGAACTATGTGATAAAAACTATGAGATTATATGCCTATGTGACATAAATTATATGATACGATACAAGAGATTATATTCTCATACGATATATGCTATGAGATATGATCCATGTGACTACATGTGAAATGATATAAGTTATGTGATGATTTGTGGGAATATGTGGTTATATGAAAAATATAAATGATAATGCTCATGTTATGTGATATGATAGCTAGGGGTATTGTTGGCATGCCAAGAGTAGAGGGTTCTATGTGGTCTTTCGGGATATATATGTGGTCCTTTGGGACAATTATATATGTCACTCAGTGGAAATTTATACGAGCTGTGGTGACAACATTTCTGCACAACCTCAATGTACTCACATATCTTTATTTCTCACAAGTGTACATGGGATATTAAAAATATATAACATAAATAAATTCTATATGATGATTATGTGTTTTGTTGTGTGGAATGTATGATATGATGTGTATAAATGTTAAGTACAAGATTAGATGATAAGAGGGATTAATTAGAATAATTTTGATAACTATAAGAAGGTTGAGAATGATAATGATGAGATATGTGTATATATGTATTGTGTTATATGAAATATTTTATAGTTTTGTGTGATATTATTGTATGAAGTGTTCATGCATTATTAGATAATTAAAGTTTCCATTATATGTTTTATATGCCTCACTAAGTCATAGACTTAGCGTGTGAATGTTTCACACATAGGTTTCGAGAAGATTAAGGAGAAAAGAGGGACAATACAAGTCAGCTTCTCATTTCCGAAGATCAGATTAAAAAAGGAATGATTAGTATGCATTTTTGTTTAATAAATATAGTTGGCATGTAATCAAAGAATTAAATCGGATACGCTCTGATAGGTTTGTAAAACTACATGTTTTTATTAAATAGAAATTTTTTGGTTTTATTTTAGTTGTCCAATTGAATTTTTAGTTATTTTGTAACTGTATATGATTTGAAAAGTAAGGTGACACCTTAGGCTCGTATCCGGGTCGGGTACTGGTTGGGGTGTTACATTGTGATTTTCTCTTCCTTTGACTTATAAACAACTTGTACTTTCTTAAAGGTTTCCAAATCTTGATCTTATTTTACTTCCTTCGATGATATGAAAGTAATGTGATTTTGCGTCCTTTATGCTTGAATGTATATTGGTTAGAAAAAAAAATCATGAATAGCTTTCGTATCATATTGCCATGGCTTCCTAAGTAGAATATGACTTACATGCATAAGAACCACATTACAAAGTACTTCAAGTTTGTACCTTCCAATGGAAAATAGAACTATGACTTGCTTGGTCACCTTTAACTCTCTTCCTTCATTTAGCCATTGTAGTTTATATGGAGTTAGATGCTTCAAGGTTTCCAAACCTAACTTGTCCACCATGAGGGTACTTGACACGTTTGTGCAACTTCCACCATCTATGATCATAAAGAATACCTTGTCTTTAATCTTGCATCTTGTGTGAAATATGTTTTCTTGTTGCTGCTCCTCATTGGCCATTTACAAGTTTAAGATTCTCTTCATGATTATCAACTCACCACCTTCGTCAGATTTTTTATCTTCTTATTGTTGTTCAACTATTTCTACTACTCTTTCTTCGAGAACCTTTTCTTCAGATTCAGAAACAACTTCTCCATCATCCAATAGCAACATGGTATTTTGGTTGGGGCATTGATTAGAAACATGACCTCTTCCTAGGCACTTGAAACACTTGATATCTCGTCCTCTCAGAATTACTAGTTTACTTCTCCTTACCTCGGTTAGTCTTCACCAAGTTTAGCTTTGGATTTTGTGTCTCCACATTCCCCTTTATTTGCAAAGGAGTTTGTTTTCTGAAGTTATTGCATTCTTGCCTCCATTATATTGAAGAAGTCTTTCCTCGGTTTAAAGTTTTCCTCTTGAGTTGACGTTCATTCTTTATGGCCATGTGTACTATTTCTTCCATCTTAACATAGTGATGTAATTCAACAAAGTTAGCAATTTTAGGATTAAGACCAAATAAGAACTTTTCAATTGGTTCTTCTTGATCTTCCTCAATATTGACCTGAATCATGGCTATATCCATTTCCTTAAAGTAATAACGCTCCTATTTCCTTATTTGAGATTCTGGAGTTTGTGGAATAGGTCTCTATGATAATGCACTGGAATAAACTCTCTCTGCATGATAACTTTTATATCATCCCAAGTGTTGATAGGACATTCATTATTCCTTCTCCAGTGCTCACCAATTGATCCCACCAAATTAGAGCATAGTCTATAAATTCCATGGATTTCATTCTGACTTTCTTTTGTTCTGAATAATTGTGGCGTTCAAAGTCATGTTCCACCTTAGTTTCCTAATCAAGATACGTTTATAGATCCGTCATCCCTTGGAATGGAGGAATAGAAACTTTAATGTTGTTTAGGTTGTCATTAAAGGAGTATCGTCTTCCTTGGTTCCTTGGTGTATTCCTTCTTGATCCTTGAAAAACTTGATCAATCTTCATAATCTTTTTCTTCTTGCCTTGGTCATGGTTGTCTTCTATAATTGCCTATGGATGCTTCAACTTGGTCCATATGTTCATATAGAGGTTCAACTTCTAATCTGAACAATCTTGATATCTCTCTAATAAGTGCTTGGTCTTGTAAATTGGGTGTTTCTCCACGGGGTCATTGACATGATTCTCGAGACATGGTTAGTGTAGATAAAGAAAAGAATATGTAGCAAGACCTTACTAAAGTACGCTTACAAAGCCTCACGAGAACACTCCAAAGAAACTTGAAATGTCACTCAACTCACTCGTGTTTTCACTCTAGGACTTTATGTCTTTTACACGTCCTCTTATAGTCTCACCACACTCAACCCTTTTTCCACTCAAACTCTTTTTACAAAGTTCTCTTGTAGACTTAATCAAGACCTTCACAAGTATACTTCCTTATGTATGTCGACTGTGAATGTTAGTAGGATAGGGAAAACAAAAATATAATACAAATGGTTGTTTAGAAATAGAGAGAAAATAAATAAAGGGGTTACGTACAAAGCAAGTCACTTATAACCTCACTGTCACCACAATCAAGTCTTCAAATTGCTTACTCGGTTTGATGGTTTAAGATGATGTTGCTTGTCCTTTGAACCCTTCTCTTGAAGTGTTTTTTTTTTTAATTTATTTTATTTTCTTTTTGTTCCTGAACTTCTTTCGTTACTTGTTGTCCTTTTTTTTCACTTCACATTTCTTTTATTTTTATTCTTTTTGTATTTCTTTTATTTGTTTTTTATAGGGACACTTTTTGTTTTTGTTGTTGCACTTTACTTCTTCCACTAAGGCTCTAAATATCGCTTGATGTAAGGGTTACCTACTTTTGATTGTGGATCTATGAAGAAAGAAAACAACATGTAAAGTAAGTGAAGCCTTCAAAGAGATAGGTTTGGATGGTTGATGTAGGGTAATGATGTTAGGCTTGAATATAAGTAAATATGATAAAGATAGGGGCTAGTTTGATGGTTGAGAGATGTGGTGTAGGCTTATGAAAAAAAGGGATGATGATGGTGGTCATAGGATGATAATATCTTAAGAAAGACTCAAAGAATGACCTATACTAAAGAGTATATACCATGTATTTATATATTTTATTAAGGGGTGGTAAACAAGGACTTGGACCCACAAGATATGAGATCTAGGAACGACAAGTATCAATGGAAAAATAGAAGGCTTGACGCCACAAGTAAAGATACTTGATAAGTCAATAAAGTCACAAAAGGACTAAGGAAAAAGGGATAACTCTCATAAGTATTTTAATGATCAAAATGTTGATTCTATACAAATGAATTGCCTAAATATTTATAGGAAATGAAAGGCTAGGTCGAATGGATACATGATGTTTTGGAAAGCCCTTATCTCATTTCATAAGTACATAATTATTCAAGTATAAAGGGTAATGAATAGAGAGAACGGTTCAGCTAAAATGAGGAGTCATGTGCTTTGGACGAATAGCGTTTGAACACTTTCATGTTGGCTCCTAGATGAGTAGTTATGCCTTTGGTCGAATGCATTCTTCCTTTCTATTTGAATTTGAGCACCTAAAGGATGTCACATGGTATGATGGTGTATAACCTTGCATAAGATCTCTTCTTTGGTGACATGTACATGCCACACTTTATGCTTGATGTATCATTTGCTCCACTCCTAATGAAGATGTAGGATGTTGCCATAATACTCCTTAAGCGCTTAGGTGACTAAGGTAGTTGTCAAGTAGGTAGCTAGGTGAGTTTGAGCTAGGTACACTCAAGATCTAGCTAGTGACACTCAAGCTACCATCTCAACTACACTCCAACTGGCCTTCAGTCCTTAGTTCAACTACCCTTCAGCTATCTTTAGCTCCTTCCCAGCTTCTTTAGTTAGCCTTTTAGCTCCATTAAGCTCCTTTGAGATAAGTAAGCTAGCATAACAATTTCTAAGCTAACTCTGAGCTACCATGCTTGTTGTTTAGCTCCACCAAGTTGCCAAATGATGTCTCACCAATGTGTTTACCTATGTGAATCAAGAAATTAAACAAACAAGTGATGTGTATGCTAGAATCATTTTAAATGCATGTTGTCGCTATGTGAACCATTAAATTATTCTAAAATAAGCTAAGGATGAATGCATAAGCTAGAATAAACTTGATATAAGATAAGTATGAATATGCATAAGCTATGAAATGATACAAACTCATAGTTATAACATAGATTAAGCTATGAATGAAGGTAAAACATAACATATGCATAATATATAGACTAATTATAAGAATGTGAGGCTCCTATTATGCTTTATACTTAATGAATATGCAAATTATGATGCTATCATTCATGATTAATAACCTAAACATAAAATGCATAACATAAGGTAATATGGCATAATAATATATGATGACATGATGCATAGGAGCATAATATTTCACATTAATGATAAGTATAAAATGTAAAGAGAAAATAAATGAAAAGAATAAGAAAACTCCCTTAGTCTTCAACCATTTTAAAGATGCAACAATGAAGAAAAGTAGATGTAAGAATGAGATTGTATCAACTTTCTTCTTTTTTGAGTAGCTGTGACATTCAAACACATGATCTACTTTGTTTTCCTAATCCAAATAGGCTTCCAAATATGTTTTCCCTTGAAATGGTGGTATGATGACTCGAATGTTGCTGAGATTATCATCAATTTGTGGATGACTTTCTTGGTATATTGGGGAATTCCTTCTCGATCCTTGTTGTAATGATTGCTCAACCTCTACTTCATCATCATCATATTCCTCATGATACTCTTATTCTTGCCTATATTGATTTGGTCTTCTAGGAGCTTAATTGTTTCGATTATTGCCTTGAGAGACTTCAAGTCTATCAATCCTCTCATTCAATGGTTCAAGTTCAGCCCTTAATTTCCTTGTCATCTCCCTAAAAATGGCTTGCATTTGGATATTTGGTGGTCCTTAACCTTGGTGATAATGACCAGACCTTTTTGATATGGTTAGTTAAATGAAAATAAAAGAAAAAAAGACCTTACCAGTGCACTCACAAGTCCTCACAAATTCATTCTAAAGAAAAAAATAAAGATGAAGCTCTACTATTCACTCGTGTTTCATCACTCTGGGAATATGGCTTTTTCTTCCCTATTGATTTCACACTCTCGGTGTCTTTTTCCACTCCTTTCTCTTTTGTATAGTTCTTTAAGGAACTAACTTCAGACTTGGTCAAGTAGTGCCCTTTGGGCATCGATTGAAAGAAAAGTTAGGGTAGGGAAAGAAACAAATATAATGCAAGATAGGTATATAATAAGTAAGAATGGAAAGAAAGGGTTACTTACTGATCAAGACACTTACAACCTTCCTTAGACCACAATCAAAGTCTTGAATGAATTTAGGCTTGGTTTTTGTAGACGACTTATGCACCTTTCCACCTTTGCTTTGTGCTTTGTTATTCCTTTTGTACATTTTCCTTTGAACTTTTTTGCTTGAAATTCTTCTTTGATGATGTTGGAGTTCTTCTTGCTTTTAGTTTCTTTTTCTTCTTCTTTTTTTTCCTTTTATTTTATTCCATTTGCACGACTTTACTTCAAGGATGTAGGCTCTTTCTTTCTTCCAACAAAGCTCTGATTATCATATGATATGAATGGTCATGCCCTTTGGTTGATTTTAAAGGAGTGCAGCTTTTGATTGTATGATTTAGGAAGGCGTGCAAGTTTACCTACAAGTAATATAGGCCTAAAGAAAGGGTTATAGATAGTAGATGTTAAGGACATTTAGGTAGGCTTGGAAATGATCAAATATGAAATAAATATATATATGGAAGGGTGGGTTGTTTTGACGTGGTGATGGATATGAAGAAATGGGATGGTGATGGTGTTGAGAATATGAAAAAGAATAAGGAAAAAATATGTTATATTAAAGCATAACCCCAAACCTTATAAGTTATATGTTCGGGTGGTAGAAAGGACTTGGACCTCTAGTTAAAGAACTAGGAACCACAAGCATCAAGGTGAAAGATAGGAGTGACGCCACAAGCATAAAGGCTTTATAAGTCGATTTAGTTCAATGAAGAAATTGAAGATAGAAAATTCTGACAAATAAAGTTTAATTGATAAGTATGAGATGCCTTACAAATGTCAAGGCATTGGCTTTATATAGATGACAAAAGGGCATGGATGAAAATCCTTGTATATATTTGGCTAATGTGTGAACAAAGAGTTATGCCTTTTGTTAATGCATATTAATGAATGCACATGACCCTTGGTTTAGACGTAAACTTGAATGTTCATGTACTTGGCCAAATGAGTAGGTGATGGTTCAATTAGATGTCTCCTTGAATGTAGTTGACTTAGTCAAACAGTTATGTGTTGGTTCGGCCTTAAATGCTCATGATGGTTCGACTACTTGCTTCCTTAAATGCTTGTGATTATTCGGTTAATTAGGCGCCTCCCTTGGATGCACATGATGCATGACCGAACGCACATGACTTTTCCTTGTCTTTGGTACCAAGATGAAATCACATGGTGTATGGTGAAGGCACATGACACTTGGTGAAGGTATATGGTGTTTGGTGACAAGGCAAGTCCTTTCAGCTCCTTAGTTGAGCCTTAAGCTCCCTTGGTAGCTAACCTCACTCCACTCCACTAGTCAACTTACTAGTCTTTAGCTCCCTTCCAATGGGATTTAGTTCCTATGCCTAACCTTGAGCTTCCTAGAAATTGAGTACAACTCCTTAGCTTTAACTTTTAGCTGATTGAGCTCCTATCCTTCATGATTGAACTCCTTAAGTTCCTATTCTTTGGTCATTTTACCTACATAAATCAAAGTAAGGTAAGTAAGCAGATGATATAATATAAATGCAACTAATAACATATGATAACATATTGCACACCTAGGAATGGATGTAAATGCAATCTAAAACATATGCAAAGATGTATAATATAAGGTAAATATGACATAAGCTAAATATAAACGTGTGGATAATATGTATCATGCATAACAATCATGTAATATGCAAAGTATAAGGACTAATATATGTAAACATATATTCTAACATAAAATGCATAATAGAAAGTACGAATATGTCATGACATGAATAATATGCATGTCATGATATTAGAGGTGAGCAAAACTCGACTCGAAAAATAGATTTTTTTTCTTCAATTTTTCGAGTTATTTTAGTCGAGTTATTTAAGTCAAATCGAATTATAAATTTGATTTTCAAGTTCGAGTCAAGTTGAAATTTTGAATTTTCGAGTTACTCAAAAAATCAAAAATTTGACTAAGTATTTTGACAGTTTTACGATTTCGTCCCTCATTTCATTATTTCTTCAATTCCTTCTTCATTTTAAGTCCATTTTATACCATATTTAAACCACATGCTCCTAAATGATAGTATAATACATGTGTACTTTCAATTTCTCTTTTTGATAACAAATTTTTTTTTATTTAGTCCTTCAATTTTTAATAATCTCCTTATTTTTTAAATTCGTCATTTATTTTAAGTCAGTTTTTATCAAATTTGAGCCACATGCTCCTAAACCATAGTAGAATACATGTGTACTTTCAATTCCTCTTTTTGATAATAAACTTTTATTTTTCAATTTAGTCCTTCAATTTTTCATAATATCCTTATTCCTTCAATTTGTGATTTATTTTAAGACCTTTTTTTACCAAATCTGAACTACATGCTAATATACCACAATAGAATACCTATGTAACTTCAATTGTTATTTTTTTACTAAAAATGTACTCTATTTTTTATTTAGTCCCTTAACTTTACATTTTACTCAATTTGGTATTTTGACTACAATTGTTTACAAATTCTTTCTTCTCATTAATTCCTTGACTCATTTATACTCTCATCAATATTTTACACTCAAAATATTTTCTTTAAAATATAATATTATGAATATATTTCATAATTTTAGATTGTATTTGATATATTAAATAATATTATAATATGAAAGAATAATATATATATATATATATATATATATTATGGTTAGATAACGTCAAAAAATTGAATCAAGTCATTGTCATAATACAATAAATAATTATAATAAATTTAGTATAAAAACTCTAATAACTCGACTCTAATTTCTTAAACTCGACTCGAAAAAAATTTAAGTTAATTTCGAGTTGTAAATTATGACTCGTCAACTCGAATAATTTGAAATTGTTTGACTCGACTCGATCAAATGTTCACCCCTACATGATATCCTAAGTATATTATAATATAAGTATGAATGAGACATAATATAAGAACGCAAATTGAAGGTATAAAATAAATGAAGATGTGTAAGGATAGAAAAAGCTCCCTCCACTTTTCAACCTTATGTGTATCAACCATATGAATAAAGATGAAAGAGTAACGAGAATGAGTAAGCCTTTGAGTATGATCACATATAGGCAAAACAAGGGAAGCACATGGCTGGTGACGACTAGCAATGGGGCCTGGAGCAATGTGAAATAAAACCATCTCTTTTCTTTGAATCCAGTACAGCTGAAACACCGGAGCTCTAACAGGGAAAACCTTACTTTTATCCTTTTGCAGCCCTCCTCTTTTCATCCCACTCTTCTTGCATCAAAGGCTTCAAGTTTACCGTTTTCTCTCTCTTTCTTTGGGGGTGGGGAATGAAACAGACAAAAGACGAAGAAAAAAAAACCAATCTTCATCACTGTCTGTCAAGTCAGCAAAAAAAATGTTTTTCCATCAAGTTATCATGTGGCCTTCCTTGGGTCTTTCTCTTTGTCTCGGTAAGAGTTTTTCACAGACTAAACAGCAAGACGAAAACCTTCCTACCTATCTCTCTCTTTTTCTTTCTTCCTTTTTCATCAAAGACTCTCCCCCCCCCCCTCTCCTTTTTATTTCCTTATTTTGATCTTATGGGTTCTTTCTCTCTCAACCTTGTGATCTTTAACCATGAAGAAGATGAAAGGGGTTGTTGCTGCCATGGCGTATTCCCCATATGCGATGTATGTGGACCAAAGGATGAGGTTCAAGCACCTGTCTCTTATGCAAGACTTTGAAGACTTGCACATGGTAACTTCTTTCCCCAGATTATTTAGATATGGTGCTGGTGTTCTTGTTTTTTTTTTCTTCTTTTCTTCAATATTTAAGAATTGGGTTTTCTAGTTTTCATTGATATATGTATTTGATTTTAATTCATTGCTATGTTTGATGATTAAATTGTTGATTTTTCGACCTAAATCCTTATTGTTTTCTAAATGGAATGCTTTCTCCAATAGAAATTTGAGGGGGAGGCTTTATGTTTTCAGGAAACAGATGCCATGATAAAGAAATTGCAGAAGAGAGCGAAGATTGACCCTGTTGGCCGAAGTTGGGTATGATGTTGTACCTCCTTTACATTTTAGGATACATATAGCCTTAGAATCTTAGATACCACTGTAGAGTTCATATTTCGGTTTTTCGAGTTTCGACCGGGATTTTGTTCTTAGGTTTTTGAAGAGGAGGCACACGTTCTTGATGCAAAACCATTCATCAAGCACCAGCAGGAACTTTGGGCAGCCACCGAATATGGTGGTTAGAAGTAAATCCAATGTGAAGGAAAAGAATTCAAGCAGAAGGGAAAGTAGTTTGCGCTGCCTAGCTGTGTCGTTTGATCTGAACCAAAAGAGGAAGACCTATAGTGAAAAGGAAGCCTCTTTCGTTCATCATTCTCATATGTTTGACCTAAACCAGAAGCAGCACAAAAATATCGAGGGAAGGAGGATGTTCTTTTGCAAAGAGGCTACTGCTCAAACTATGGAACCTATTTTCGATTTAAACCAGATTTTAGTAATCTATTTATAGCCAAGACAAGTTATATTCATCACAATCCCCATGCTATCTTTTAAAACAAACTAATTTCATCTCAATTTTTATTTCATTGCAGAGAGAGGAGGAAGAATTGCAGGCCATGGACAATTCAATGAGAATTGAGGAATTCAAGAAAAGTTCGATCCGAATTGCAAGTGACGGGCAGCACAATGATATTAAAATATCAACCTGCAGGAACACGGGAAACGGACCGAACAGAGTCGGGAAAAGGAAGATCTCCTGGTAGGATCAGGTGGCATTGAGGGTTTAAGTCTCTTGTAACACAAGTTGCTTAGTTGGAGGGATTGAGGACTAAGTAAATTTAGCTTGCCTAACTCCCCCCTCTTTTAATTGATATATGTTCTTGTTCCTCTTTTTGTAAAGAAAATATAGTAGGCATATATAAAATTGCTTCATTGCAATTTCTGTGGTGTAAATAGTTGTTACAATTTTTATTTTTATTTTTTATTTTTTACCTAGCTTCCTTAGTTGACATTTCCATCTTGCTACTCGAAATGGGTATTTGGAGTAGGCTGGAAGTTGTCACTTAAAATTAGAAAGCGACCACAAACATCGATATTTGAGGGTGCCGGTGGGTCCGAAACCAAGGTCTTGAAGCAAATGCAAGCAACAAATGATGTCTAAGTGCATGGTGAAAGTTAGTCCAAATGTTACAGAAGAGAGAGCTTGAATGTTAGGTTAAGTATAAATTCAAGCACCCTTGTGGATCAGATAATGTTGCAACAAGGTCAAAACTAATGGCATTTTATCTCTAAACCCTTGGCATTTAATAATAGATCAATCTTGGGTACGTTTTGGGTTTCAGCTAAAATTCCAATATCTGATTAGAAGTCTCAGATGGTAATTACAGACTTTAATTTATCTTTGCTTAATCAGAAACCGCATCAGAGACTTTTGGCATCTAAGCATCATTAGATCTTCCCGGCTCAGTGACAGTATCTGTGATGGCTGTGACGAGGGAAGCTATATTACGTTTGCCGACTTCAAGGAGTCGTCGAGTGTGCCTTTTCCCTGTTTTATGAGTTTTCATAACCACTCCAGAATGCGTACCGACTGAACAGATTTCACACCAAAACTTAAATTTTCTCTTTTTGCTAAATCGTGTCTTCTTCATCTCATCCATTGCAGTTGGAGTGTGTTTCTCAAGGAAATCTGCAGATTTCTTTTGCGGAAACCATTTCGCCTTTCCCTCTGTCTTAATCAGTTGCTCATCCTCTTCATTCTTTATCTTTTCATTGCTAACTTCTGGTGTCTTCTCCATGTCATCCCTTGCAGTTGATGCACATTTCATCTCAAGGGAATCTGCAGGTTTCTCTTCAGTATATCTTTCCGCCCCTCCTCTCTCTTAATCAGCAAGTCCTCCTTTTCGATCTTTATCTTCTTAGTTTTCTGCTTTGCTTCGTTAGCCTTGTGCTTCTTACCTCCAACGTGTTCAGCCAAAGTTTTCTCACTCGAAACACTGATTTGACAAATGGTACAGCACCACTCATCATTTTGTTTCACCTTCGAGCTAATTAACAGTTGATGCAGTTCGCAGGTTCCTGCTGGAGGCGGTGTTTTCCACTTTGCTCCAAGAAAACGATTAGGATCAGGCTTAGGCTGCATATGGTACACAAAAGAATCAATTAAACAATTGCCAATCACTGCACCATCAGTCTTTCCAACAAAGATAAATCTAACCATCAGCCTTTCTTTCTTGGAAATATAACAAATATATTGGTTTCTCGGCTGTCATGAGAAACTTTTGAAGCATACAACAGAATACCAAGATCAGATGAACTTCCATTGAGATCTCAAAGAAAATGATAAATAAAGCATGTAGAAGCATACATGCAATGCATGAACAAATCCGAAACAAAATGGAGTATGCAGCCGCCATCCGCTGCTACATGATACCAGATAACATGCCATGAAAAAGGATATTGCTAATCTAGGAAAAAAGAAATAGGTCACTCTAAATGACTGAGACACCGAGTAAAAGCAGCTACGGCAATCTCGGAAAAATATCTTCAGGATTGATCCATGGCTGCAATGTCTTAATAGGAAACAACAAGGCTTAACAATATGAATTAATTGCAAACTCCAGATGCATTCCTTGTACCAACTGCAACATCAGCTAATGCGAAACGAGCACAAGAAACTGAACTAGATCGCCATTAGCTTATGGTCTCAAAGGCTTGATCTTTGTTGGCTTGTTGGGTTCATGCGTCTATCTATGGTCATTGTGCATAAGGACCTTACAAGAGAAAACAGTTTATATAAAGTTTGTTCAAGTTTATGCCTTTAAACTTGGACTTACCAGTATAATCAGCTCATTCTTTTTGTCTTCCGACGCATCCTTAACCTGATAGTCCAAATTCTCTGTTAACGGTGGGGGCAACACGACCGGAGGCGGCAGCAATGCCGGTGGAAACAAGTTGAAAGCCCTCCAGCGGTTGAGGCTATGTAGGTGAGGCACGAAAGGAAGCCTGGGGTCGAGGCGCATTGTGAGGCTTTTCTCGTAAGACAAACCCGTTTCCCTAAATCTCTGCTGGACCGCCATTTCCCGTTCGGCCATCAACTCCCTCCTCACCTCGGCTTCCAACGCCCTCCGACGCGATTATCTCATCCCTGAAAAGCAACTTCTCCCGTTCGACGGTCTCGGGTCGACCAAGAATGACGTTACGATGAGGTCGAAGTATTTGACCCGACAGTGATGGATTGAAGCTCGACGACGATGAAGGAGCAGAGCTCGACGGTTGATAATCAACCGCTCTGAATTTGAAATCCATTAGAAAGATTTAGGCTTCTTCTTCTTCTTCTTTGGCCGGAGTTTTCAACTCTCAAAGAGTGATTTTGTGAAGGTTTAGTATAAGTGAAGACATTAGTTTTTTTATTTCATTTTATTTATTATTATTATTTTGTTTTAATATTATTATTATATTTTTTTATTATTATTAACTAAATAATTTTAATATATTGCAGGCCCAAAACCGGATCGGCCCAGTTACAAGAGTCCAAACCAGATTGAAACCTAAACCCATTTAAGGTTTCTACTAGGGTTTATAACCCTAGCGTCGTCGTCTCAAGATTCCAGCTGCCTTGTCAACGCCTCCACTGCCAGATGGTCCAACCAGTTGTTGCTGACACTACTGCTGCCACGACTCCAACCTCGCCGAAGTCTCTAGAATGCCACGAAGCCACCCACGTCGAACTCTATGCTGAGTCACCACCATAACTATGATGACTCACCACCATAACTCTGGTGACTCACCGAGACTTCCACTCTTTAACCGGTCCGAAGAGGAGCATCGTGGTGGCTATAAAAGCCATCCTTCCCTGCAAAATAAAAAAAGGGAGGAAAAGGAGAACATACAGACAGTAAGATATCAACAGAGAAAAACCACGAGGAGAGACACCTATAGCAACCACGACAGAAACCCAGTAAGCCAAACAACACCCACAGCATCTAATCGAAAGCAAAGAGAGAAGAGAGAAAAAGACTTACCCTCGTAGAACTCAAACGCCGCCATAATCCTTGTAAAAACCGAGGTAAAATCCTTCGGTTATCGCTTAGATCTAGGTAGATTGGCAATTTTTTAGGATAAAAGGGCTTCGAAATAGGCTTTAGGGTTATCGGGGCTTTATTTGGGGTAGGTTTACAAATCCTGACCACCGTGAGTGGTGGCTGGCGGTGGCCATCACCACCGGAGCACGGTGGTCGGCGGCTGCCGGAATTCCCTCCGGCGAAGGAAGCTATAGAGAAGCAAGAGAGAATTCTCATCTCTCTCAGCTAGAGAGAGAATCAGAAGAGAAAATGAGAGGTTTGGCTCTTAAGGGGCCGGTTAAAAGGGTTTATATATCTCTCCACGAACGTCGCCATTTTGGGATGGGTATGTTCATAATTTCCATCATGGGTAAACCCTGTCCGCAGCGTTCCAAGTTTGTATTCTTTGCAATTTAGTCACTAAATTAAGTTTATGAATATTCTGATTTGGTCTTTTAATTTTATTTTATCTACAATTTAGTCCTTATTAGTATATTTAATATTTTAGGGTAAATATCATAATTAACCCTTATGATTTTAATAGACTTTTATTTTAATCCCGAATAAATATATATGGCTAAATTACACTGTTAATTATTATATTTCATAATATTTGAATTAGAGCTTTTAATTTTAATATGTTGTATTTTAATCACTAATTGATAATTAAGGGATAATTACAGTATTAATAATTATATTTTTATAATAATTCAAATTATGTTCATTAATTTAGATATCTTACATTTTAATCTTGTTGTTTAATTTTATTTAATTATTATTTATTTTCATTTTATTATTGTCCTTTTTTATTTCAATATGATTAAATTATTATTTTCATTATTATTTTATTATTATTATGTAGTCATATAAATATATATGATAAATAATATTTATTTACTTATTTTTATATTTTATATATATTAAATAAAAATCCTATTTATAAATTTAATTTTATATAAATTACTTTTAGGAAAAATAATCATATTTTAATATGTATTTTTAATATTAAGAAAATGGTTGTCTTAAAGCACCTAGATGTCATTTTCTGATATTCTTAAATAAATAAATATCCTATTTTTATATATTATATATTTTAATTATTTTTAGAGAAATATTTTATTAATATTTATTTATTTTTTAATATTAAGAAATGGGTTGTCTTAAAGCACATAGAAGTCCTTTTCTAATATTTTTAAATAAATAAATATCCTATTTTTATA